TCTTTATGGACGACGTTTCAATTAAAGGAAAAAAGTTCGTTTTAACCAAAAGTTCACTTTAACCGGGTTCATTATAAGTGGACTTTACTGTATTTAAGTTATTAAGTTGCTGTCATCTGATCTGATTCGAAGTGACATGGACATCTGGCAAAATAGTCAAATTTTCTGTCAATTTCATTGGGGTCGATACGTTTCATTATTGACAGTTTAATTTCCAGCAATGCAAAAGAATTCTGGGACTGCAAGATGTACGCAAATTCGCCTTCACGTTTTTTCAAGTTTCTGCAACTCTTTCGAAAGGTCCTCGAAATCAATATTCAATTTTAAAAAAATTAGAACCTTGTCATATTTACACTTCAATATGCTGCAATAACCTCCAAAAAGCTGTTCATCTCATTTTTTATTAAATATGTCACAACCTTGCTTGGCAACTGTTTAACCAAATCACTCGTTAGAATCAGAATTTTGGTTCTCTCATGCAAAAGTGCAGGTGGTATTTAACAGAGTAGTTGAATTAATCACAACATAATTGGAAGACAATTTCAATTAGCAGCAATTTTTCAGTGAGGCTTTGCAAAATTGATGAATTACAGTTTAGGAGAACTTGCGAAATCGCTGTTTAACCTTTACCGAAACGTATGGGTACCATGAACTTGAAATTCGCCTATGTAAAAGCTTAAGACGGATTATTAAAGTAATTTTAAATTAATCCAACTCTACCGCCATAAACTAAGATGTGGGTACTCCATTTGATTTAACTCAACTCATTTATGTTACGTTTTATTGTTTCTCTAGTTGCATGTAGAAAATTCGCGCTCCAGTCCGAGTTCAATCCCTCGATAATAAATCCTCAGATTCATATAATCACATTACGCCAAAGGGTCTTTGGGATAATTAAAAAACGGTGGGGCCGTAAAACGAACAGATTAAAATAAAAATTAAGAAATACTCGTAATTTTAATTTATCTCTCTTGTGCTATTCATTTACGAAAGAAAAATACAGACTTGGCACGCCCGTTCTAATTACGGCAAAAAAACGATATCAATGCAAAAAGAAGCACAGACAGCAACTGGTATTCATTTACATAATAATCCTAGTAATATTATTATATAATACAATTAAGAGCAATTATTCTGGAGCTGGAATAAAGAAGACTCAACTCAAAAGTAAACGGATTCAGCTTTTTCAAGCTTTCGTGTGTTAGAGTCGAAAAATTGACGTAAAGGTTGTTAACAATTTGCAGTTTTAAGGTAAGTATTAGAATAATTAATTTAAAATTGCCAGTTAACGTGCAAAGTTACATTTTGTCATAGTAAATTGAACCATCAATTAGGATCGAGACAATGAACTATTAAAGTAATTAATAACCGAAATTATTCAGTTATTGGACTTAAAAACACGTTTCCGTAATTTAAACATGATACACAACAATAGCGTGGCTCATTTACGTTTTTTTCTGGGTTTGTGAAAAAAATACGTAGACACTTCAAGTGGGTTTTTTGCCCAATTCCAACTATCAATAAAAATTGCACGACACCAATTGATTCATTAATTAAGCAAGGAACATCTTAAAGTGCTGATCGAGCAATATTTATGCGCGATTTTTCAAATTCTCTTTTATTATTATCGGCAGTATATCAATAGTTCTCGCTCTATGCGTAGGTCCAAGCACAGTTTAGAACGTATATCAACCAAAATAAAGTAAAATAAGATAAACTTGTTACTGCAACGGTATGAACAAACCAATCCCAACTATAAATATTCGCTTAGTATGTAAGTACCTAAAAGATCAAGTATAATAAATATTAAAAATAGGCGACAGTAGGTATATGCTGTTGTAACGGGGCCATATTGTATACATTCATATAAAAATCTTTCGCAAATTTTGATTTATATTGGCAGTACCACTTTTAATGTTTTTTTCTACCCTCAGCCAAAAATGTATTAAAATATGTTGGTGCGCCAACATGTAAAAATCACAAGGTTAGTAAAGCCGTGATTTACAGTTCAATGTAGGTATCAAAAAGAATGAAAACAGCAAATTCCTAAAACACCTTCCAAGACCTTCCTAGTCGCAAATGAAGGTAATGAGCTAAAGTAAAAGAAATTATCGTTTTAAACAATATATTTGCTTTTGAAACTAATGGGATTTTCGGGTTTTTAGGGCGTCGTTCGGTAGAATTTCTTCTTGACGTTTCGCAAGCACGAGTGGCTTGCATCTTCAGAAGTGGTTTGCTTGAACGCTTACACTGTTCTCATCAGAACCCGTTCAGTTCTTCCGCGAAGAAATTCAGAAAAATTTAGAAATTTGAAACTAATGGGTTTTTCGGGTTTTTAGACCGTAGTTCGGTAGAATTTCTTCTTGACGTTTCGCAAGCACGAGTGGCTTGCATCTTCGGAAGTGGTTTGCTTGAACGCTTACACTGTTCTCATCAGAACCCGTTCAGTTCTTCCGCGAAGAAATTCAGAAAACTTATTTAGAAATTTGACACTAATGGGTTTTTCGGGTTTTTAGGCCGTAGTTAGGTCGAATTTCTTCTTGACGTTTCGCAAGCACAAGTGGCTTGCATCTTCAGAAGTGGTTTGCTTGAAGGCTTACACTGTTCTCATCAGAACTCGTTCAGTTCTTCCGCGAAGAAATTCAGAAAAATTTTGAAATTTAAAACTAATGGGTTTTTCGGGTTTTTAGGTCGTAGTTAGGTCGAATTTCTTCTTCACGTTTCGCAAGCATGAGTGGCTTGCATCTTCAGAAGTGGTTTGCTTGAACGCTTACACTGTTCTCATCAGAACCCGTTCAGTTCTTCCGCGAAGAAATTCAGAAAAATTTAGAAATTTGAAACTAATGGGTTTTTCAGGTTTTTAGACCGTAATTCGGTAGAATTTCTTCTTGACGTTTCGCAAGCACGAGTGGCTTGCATCTTCAGAAGTGGTTTGCTTGAACGCTTACACTGTTCTCATCAGAACC